CGACACGTCTGAGGCGAGGTTGTTGCAGGCAGCTAAGCTCGCAATGGCGGGAAGAACGCAAGAATCGTGCCGTCACTATTGCGGTTCTTTGCAGCGCAATGCGAATTTCGGGCACAGGTACGGATAAGGATGCAATAACGCGGAGCGATCGTGAGCCGACGCCGTGAAACGCGGAGCTGCGGACAGTGACGCCCTCGGTAGTAAGGCGCGCCATGGATAGGAAGCCGCGCCGTCGGATCTGAGCAGCAAGCTGCCGCAGTGTTGCCTATTTCACATGAACATGCACGTCATAGTTGCTGCCTGTTTCACCAATAGGGTTGCGATGTGATGCAGCCACTTGGAGAACAAGTGTCGCAAGAGGTGACTAACGCGGATATTGAGATGGTTTAGGGATTTTCAGGTTGCAAAGGAAGTAAATATCATTTTAGCAAGACAAACATACGGTAAAACTGGCATGTAAGCTTCAGCGCAAGTCCGTATAGTGAATTAGGTCAGAGTTGTTTTTGCAGAGCGCTATGCAATCTCAGAATGATGGATGATTATATGCAAGTCGTTACGTTAGGTTGGGACGAAGCTTGGATACACCCCATGCGAAAGAATGGTTGTTTGCACCATTCTTATGGTCAAGCATAGCCCCATCCAGGGGCTATTTTTCAAGGGTATTTTGCCCTGATTCCCCTTTCTGTGAGGCGTTTTTTTCATTGTACCCTGATTTTGTAAGGCCAGCCATATTGCAACCCTTCCCCAAAAAGTGTAGCAATCATATGACCCTTTGTACAGCAGGGTGCGTGTTTTTGTACCCGTACCAGTCAGGGTCAGGTCAAGATTACCCTTTTACCGAATTCTCGCACCTGTTTCACACGTAACCGTAGGAATCTGCCTTGCTGTACCAGGAACAAAGCATTCCGCCCACCGACAGTCAGTGCTGTCAAGGTGGGTGGTTTTGTTTTTTCTTGTTGTCATTGCTATTCGTCCTCGCGGCAGCTTTGGCTGCCAGCACTTTGTCAGAATCCCAGCCACTAACCACTGGGATAAAAGGGCTTGTTTATATAGCGGGTGAGTGCGCCCATAACCCCCCAGGCCGACGTGCCTGTAACCCTTCCCTAGGATCATCGGGGATCCCCAGTGGACCTCTGACACCCCCCCGCACTGGGATGCCCGAAGTGCACACACCGGGAATCGAACCCGAGACCTTCGCTCTGATACCATGTCAGAATCCCAGCCACTAACCACAGGGATAAAAGGGCTTGTTTATATAGCGGGTGAGTGCGCCCATAACCCCCCAGGCCGACGTGCCTGTAACCCTTCCCTAGGATCATCGGGGATCCCCAGTGGACCTCTGACACACTTGTGTTTTCTCTTGACAGCGCATTGCATCTGTGGTGGTTGCCCCGTCGTGTAGGGACGGAGCGCCCTGCACTTGGACGTGGATGGATGTATCTGTTGCCTGATGGTCATAGACGCTGTGTACGCTTAGAATGGTGAGGGGTTTCTTTTCTATTCTAGCAAAGCACTGAGCTATTCACTGACATTCATCCCATCCGGTTCGTATTTGTTCCTCACCTCTGTCTGGTGTTTCTCAGCACACTTAGGATGCCTCGCGACGAGGATGACGAAGACGCGCTTTCAGGCCAGCTGAATGGCCTGAGTGTGCTCGGTATTGGTCGACGAGCTCCACCTGTTGATCAGCCGCCGCCTGTTACTTCTGAAATGGGCGGTTCATCGCCCGTACTTCCTGAACGAGTGGTTTACCCGTTTGAGCCTCCCTGTTCCCCCACCGCTTTCCAAGAGCATCCGACCGTTATCCTTGTACCAGGTGGTGGTGAAGGCTCTTCCAATCCATCTGTCTGCACACCACGAACCTCCCCCGATGAACCTGCCAAGAGGAAGCGGACGACATACACCCAGCAGCGCTTGTGGGGCGCTCCACCACCTCGGAAACCGGATGTTCCGCGAAGCGCTCCACCACCACCATCCTCCCCAGCCGTGAAAACTTCGGACGCAGATGCAGAGTTTGCATTGATGAAGCACCGGTTCGACACCGACTGGTCGAAGCGGTTCTCGTGGCTGCGGCTTCACCGCATGAAAAACGGTAGGCCGTCTGTAAAATGCTCGGTCTGTGTGCTATTTGGGGATCCTAACGCTAACACGAGCTACGGAAGCCGAGGTGAGGGTGGTAGAGATTTGCAGCTTGGGAGCATGCGTGCACACATCGTCAGCATGGCTCACAAGGCGGCGCTGAAGGCAGAAAGCGAGGCTGAAGCTGCTAAGGCGCGGCAGGTGACTCGCTCTCGGTGGCAGGCAACGGATTCTTCGACACGGCATCTCATACGATGTCTCCACATCGCCCATTTCGTCTGCAAGAAAGATGCACCGATGGCGCTTTTCGTTCCACTCTGCTGGTTCCTCGCCAAGGAGGGCCTTCCCGATCTCCCTCCAAACGGAGGGTACGGATCGTACTACACAGAGTGAGTACAATTGTTGTTTTCGCGAAAACCTTTTCTTTTGATGCAATTGCACATGGACACTTTGGCCTAACACCTCCCTCGTGTGATGGCTTGCAGGTACGGATTCAAGCAACACCTCAGCGCCATCTCTACCCATCTGCTTGAGCGTCAACTTCAGCACATCCAGGCTTCGCCGAGCCTCGGGATAAGCATTGACGAGAGCACCGATCGTGTCCACGGGAAGCACATGATCCTTTACGCCACATTCTTCAAAGAAACGGAGGTCGTCACTGAGTTTGTCACTCTCCTTTCTGTGGAACGCACTGACGCTGCGTCGCTTACCTCTGTGCTGTTGCAGTACTTGAGACAGGTCGGCATCGACCTGCAGAAGATCGTCGCGATCGCCACTGACGGCGCTTCCGTCATGGTCGGTTCACAGACTGGTGTTTGTGTCCGCCTGAGGACAGAGATTGAACATCTCGCGTCCACTCACTGCATCGCCCATCGGTGAGCGCCATTTCATTTTGCATCCACGATACTTCACATTGCGTCACTGTTTGTAGATCAATCCTAACATGCTGCACCGCTCTGTCGCAGGGAGGCTTTGGCAGCCAAGGAAGCAGCGCTTCAAGTGCCCGAGCTCAACATCGTCGACGACGTTGTCCGCGGAGTGGCGGACATCCTCAGCAGGAGTCACGTGAAGAATCAGCGCTTCATGCAGCTGCAGCTCATCTTCTGTCAGACGAACCTGGAGGTGCAGGGGATTCATGACGTCAGATGGCTCGCGAGGGGCGAAGCCATCAATCGGCTACTTGAAGTGTTGCCAGCCGCCATGCTCGCAGTGAAGGAGTACTCCGCCACTTTGTGGGAGGTGGTAACTTCCTTCAAATTCCAGTTTCTTCTTCGATTTCTCGCGGACATCCTCACCGAGCTCAACCACTTGAACACAAGGTTCCAAGTGCGCCAGGTGAGAAATCTCCAAAACGCCTTGTGTCTGGCCTAATCCGTGGTGTCCGATGTGTGTGATTTGAATTTCTGGTATTAACATGTCCTCCTTCGGTTTCCATCTCTGCTCCCCAACCATAGGTGGACGTGACCCTGGTTGCGCACCTCGTGGTGCAAACTCGCATGCGCATCAGTCAGCGGTACATCAATGTGCCACAAGGCCATGTGTTCGGGCACGGAGACAAGATGCATCTACCGGACTTCTTGAAGAAGCACGATCCAGTCGACAAGTGCAAGATGCGTGTAGATGGCGTGGATGCTGACGGGAACCCTGCTAAGGAAGAGTTCATCCTCCATGAGAGGAAGCTTCCTGGCGCCAAAACTGCTGGCGACTTGGAGGCTTGCTACGCCCTTGCTGTGCAGTTCGCGAGTGAGGTCAACAGTGAGCTGGCGTGGCGGATGGCGGACTTGCAGAACCTGGAAGGCACCAAGCTCTTCCTGTCCCAGACCTACCTGGCTGACGACGACAAGCGCATGGCAGCATTCAAAAAGTGGCTGAAGCAGCTGGCTGCACTCTTCCACGGGAAACTCCCTGGTTTGTTAACATTCAAACTGTTTCTGTGTGTTATGCTTTCCTAGAACTGCAAGGATGTGGTTGTTTTGGCGCCAGCGGCACGCCTAGTTAGCCCTGCATGAACCTTTCCTTATTTAACTTTTCTCTCCGCTGTCCCATACCATCTCATCCCTATGGATTGATGTTTTTGGATTGCCTGTGTGCATGTCCTGTAGGATTCGATCTCAACAAGGCAATGACGGAGCTATGGATCTTCACTTCAACGATGCATTCGCAGCACCACAATGAAGACTTCAACCAAGCGCTCTCCAACACCCTTCGTGATGAAGACACCTGGCGTCGTTCATTCCCCAACATCATGAGGCTGTGGCAGGCAGTGGCAGTTCTTCCTCTCAGCACTGTTGAGTGCGAGAGGGGATTCTCAAAGCAAAACCTCATTAAGACGTGGGGACGAGGCACCATTGGTGATGCAAGCCTTGGAGCCCTCATGCGCTGCTCTCTTTTGGACTACGAGGTGGACTGGTTTGATGTTGTCGCTGTTTTTCGGGGAGAGAAGAACAGGCACCCCGTTAGGGACTTCTCGGGCGTGATTCCAGGAGAGCAGGAATTTGTAGACATTAGGTAGGGGGGGCACAGCCCCAGTTCGTAGAGTAGGGCATCTAGCTTGCTATGTAGTTAGTAATATATCAATATGTGTAGTTGTAGTTGTAGAACATTGTCATCTAATGGAAGGCACAGTATGGCCAAACATGAAATAGGGTAACTGGACAAACTTCCTTAAACCACCCTGTCACGAACAGTGTGCAAAAACTTTTACCCTTCTGTGGACAGGGTGGAGGAAACTTCACCCTAGCAGTCAGGGTGCTGTCGCCCTGGCACCCTGATCCTTACCGTAAGTGTGCTATGAAACCAAAAATAGCCCCTGGCCCCATCCCCGTTAGTATCAACTCAATGTTCCTCGATCAGGTTAGTGAGGTCTAGCCACGCACGTCCAAGCTGAGCTCATAACCAGCTGTGGCATTCAAGGCATGGCATCACCTGCCAGAGTAACGGCCATGTCGGACCACGGAGGCAGCATGGCAGGGTGCTAGTAGAGAGATGGCAGAGCACCAGAAGGAAAGGGCTGCTGCAGCACGGCTGGGCGTGGCTGTATGGGAGCTTGCATGTGCGAGCCCCGTGGGTTGGAGGGCGTGTAAGGTGCACTGGTGGCGCCTGGGGCCAGTAGAAGTTGGGAAGGCACTCTCAGCCATGGCGTTGGTAGCAGTGTTAGTAGCTTTGGAATCGGCTGCGGCAGTGGCAGTGGCAGTGGCAGTGGCTGTGGCTGTGGCTGTGGCTGTGGCTGTGGCTGTGGCTGTGGCTGTGGCTGTGGCTGTGGCTGTGGCTGTGGCTGTGGCTGTGGCTGTGGCTGTGGCTGTGGCTGTGGCTGTGGCTGCGGCAGTGGCAGTGGCAGTGGCAGTGGCTGTGGCTGTGGCTGTGGCTGTGGCTGTGGCTGTGGCTGTGGCTGTGGCTGTGGCTGTGGCTGTGGCTGTGGCTGTGGCTGTGGCTGTGGCTGTGGCTGTGGCTGTGGCTGTGGCAGTGGCAGTGGAAGTGGCTGTGGCTGTGGCTGTGGCTGTGGCAGTGGCTGTGGCTGTGGCAGTGGCTGTGGCTGTGGCAGTGGCTGTGGCTGTGGCTGTGGCAGTGGCAGTGGCTGTGGCTGTGGCAGTGGCTGTGGCTGTGGCAGTGGCAGTGGCTGTGGCTGTGGCTGTGGCAGTGGCTGTGGCTGTGGCAGTGGCTGTGGGTGGTGCAGTGGCAGCGAGGGCATACGCCCCTGCTTTAGACACCCGCACGCCTTTTGCTGCGGCGCCTCCTGCGTGAGAAAGGGCTGCTGCCTGTGCCACTCAGCACCTGCCTCTTCGACCCCTCCTTGCTCCACCACCCACTCTGGCACAAGCACCTGGGGCTGCCCCAGCCGCACCAGGGGTTGGCGCAGCAGCACCAGGGGGTGCAGGCTCCTGAGCCTGACGTCCACTGGTGAAGGGCACGGTGAGGGCGCTCCCACCCAGCAGCAGGTGGGCCATGGGCGTGTCGAGAAAGAGAGCATCCTTCTCCTTGTCACTGTGGCTGTCAGAGCCACTGTTGACGTTGTCGGTGCCGTTGTCATTGTCACTGTCATTGTCGGTGTTCTCAGTGTTGCTTCCGTTGTCGAGCACGATAATGCATGCATCCACGTATTCCTGCTCCTGTGTGCCACACGTACTCCCAGCAAGCACCGCTGCCATGCAGCTGCTCGTGCTGCCGGGAGCGGAGCCAGGCAGAGCAGCGGGTTGGGAGGGCATTGGAGATGGCAGCCGAGTGGCTGGGCGGGAGGAGGAGCAGAGAGAGCAGCACGTTGCGCAGAGGGGGGGCCCTCCCAGCAGAAACCCAGCAGCACGTCGTCTGGAAGGGCACTCTCCGACCCAACGCGCGGCCACTCCACCCGCTGCAGTGTGCAACCATCCCCAATGCAGGGAGCGGAGCCAGACAGAGCAGCGAGTTTGGGGGGCATTGGCGATGGCAAAGGTTTGGGCTGCTGGGTGGGCGGAGGAACAGAGAGAGCGGCACGTTGCGTGAAGGCAGGGAGCACGTCGTCTGGAAGGGCACTCTCCGACCCGATTTGCGGCCACAACACCCGCTGCACCCTGCTCTTCAATCCTCCCTGCTGCTGCTGGCGTTCCTCCTCCTGCAGCAGAGCCTCCAAAAGGGCTTCTTCCTCTGCCTGCTGCTGTATGCACGCACTCTGCTGAAACTGCTCTGCCACTGACTCAAGCCAGCTCTCCGTGCCACACGCCATCCCATCCCTCACCACCCCGCTTCGCACCAACTGGCTGTCACGTCCACCCGGCAGAAGTTGGTCTGCCCCCATCCCCATGCAGTCGTCCCTCGGTCGCTTCACTGCACGGCGCAGAGCAGCGGCGTGGGAGGCAGCAGCAACTGGGAAAGTTTCAAGGGCGAATGGAAACTCGGTGGTAGAAGCAGCAGCAGCAGCAGCAGAGAAAGAGGCGGTTTCGGCAGCAGGAAAAGGAGCTTGGGAAGCAGGGGGGGGACTGGCGAGGGATGAGAGGGAGGGCGGGGGTGGTGGGAGGCAGCAGCGAGCATTGGGGGCGAGGAACGCCATCATGCACTCCTCATACGACAGCCCTCCGAACGCCACTGCTGCTGCTCCCACGCCCTCCCAATGCTCCGACCGCTGCTGCTGCTGCTGCTGCTGCTGCTGCTGCTGCTGTTGCTGCTTGAAATCCTGACAGAGCAATGGCTGGCTGTGGCCGTGCAATGAAACATCATGGGGCTGGGGGAATGCAGAAGCTCCCAGGTGCTTTAGCAGGAAGTTCTGGCGAAAGCGCTCTGTGAACTTTCTGCCATCAACACACGGCCACAGGAGCGGAGAGGTGTTCAGTAAGGCCGAGGAGAGTTAGAAATGCTCAGGCGTATCAGGACGGTTACATTCTGAGGCATGCAGTTTTACCTTCGGAGGAAGATGTAACGGTTACAGCACGACTTGTTGCTCCTCTTGATCTGACCGCTCCTCCCCAGCTCGCTCCATTGCTTCGTGCCGCACTGCAGCGCGTGGCGTAACAGAATGGCGTCCTCCTGCGCACCCAGTGCGCAGCGGAGGGAAAGAGAGAGAGAGTGCGGCATTCCCATGATAAGTGGCATTGGGGTTTGAAACTCCGCGGCTCAAGGCACAGTAGCGTGTCCTGACGCACGAAGGAAAGTACTATCCCACGACATAACAAGGACGGACTTGCAACATTGAATCCTGAATCACTTTTGAACCCTAAAATCCGGAGGAACTTGAAATCCTCCACTGGACGCTCTTTTCGCGACCCGGCACCTCTCACGACCCACCTCTCGCGACCATGGCTGAATGCCGGGCGACGCGGATTGCGAGGAAGGCGAGTGGACGGCTTCAGAGGAATGCGGCATGGCGGACAGGCAACTGACGAAAGCATGACTCAGAGTCTTGCAAGTCTGCACTGCATCTCTCTTCAAGAGGGAACGGAATGACCCACAAGACCCAGGCGGCTTGCCCAGCCCCCAGGCTGGGGTTCACCCTCCCAGGGCTGTGAGCCTTGCCGCCTCGGGCGATGGCAGGGCTTCGCCTTGGCTGAGAATTGCCTTCTCGCCGCATTTCCATTCCATCTCAAGCGCGCGCAGCCAGCGACTCGCGCGGCAGGAGGCGTGCGACGGGAGCCGCCCGGCACAGGAAGGCAGGTGGAAGGGGGTGAGTGATGCGCGCGCGAGGATGACGTCACAAATGTGTGGACCAGTAGACTGACGAGAAGGGGTACCACGGGAATCATTGCACTCGCCAAGTTGTAGCCTGATTTCCGGCATTCTCGCGCTCACGCCCTCCAATAGGACGCGGCAAGCTAATACTGAATCGTATAAAGTACTCTGTACGGAGGGTCCTCTCGAAATCGGCCTGTTCACATGAGTGTGGATGGGAGGAGTCCGTCGTGCGACACGAGGCACGTGAACACCGGCCAGCTTCGAAACCTGTATTAACGCTTGCGATTTGTTCAAATCGGACAGTTGATACTAGAGACGACACTACACCCTTGGACGCTTCGTACGAAACTACTAGCTGGAGCTGCACAAAACCACTTGACCCACCCTCCATCCAGTTGAGGTGCCGGGAAGAAGAAGACATTGTTGACCTGGCAAGCAAGCAAGCAAGCAGCTGCTGCTGAATGCCGCATCACGAGCAAGGCTGAAAACGGAACGGTAACTATCTTGAGTGTTATGGCGTGGCGTGCATTAGCTTTAGGGACCGGGCACCTGTTGTAGTCTTGACTGTGTGGTGAGGAGGAGGTGTGTGTGTGGCTGCCTCTTCCTGAACTTGGAAGGTCCGCCTTGTTCCTAAACGCGTGAGGGTGGGTGTACTCGCATGGGATGAAAATAATCATTCATTTCAAGATGCACTGTGTCAAGTTGTGCTAAAATCGAATGTTGGGTCCCGTTTTTCCGTGAACAATGCCCGCTTCTCCCCCTAACATATACTACTTAGTGGAACCACACGAGTCAAAACTGTGTACAACAGTGCAACTACAAAACACAGTAACCTATATGGGCCACAAATGACCTTCCCACTATCGTCCACAATACCAGTGACCATGGTATGCCTGAGAAGGGGACTTGATCCTTGCTTGCAACTAAAATCGAAGGAAATGAAATAGGATTTAGTGGAGATACTTATGCGCCCATCTACCCACACACTGTATTACTCATGCCCCGTTGAACAAGTAACAAAAGGACGCAAGCTATACAACTATACATTCTTCACTTGTGGTTTGAGCAAGTCAGCAAAACATTCTGTAATCTCATCCCATCCCCGTCAATTTTGAGTAACTTGATCCTTGAACAGACTAACAGAGCCGCGCACATCCAAGCTGATCCCACGACCGTTGATGGAATTCATAGCAGCGCCATCACCTCCCGGAGTAAAGGCCGTGTCGGGCCAAGGAGGCAGCAGGGGGATGGCAGAGAGATGGCAGAGCACCGGAGGAGAAGGGCTGCTGCAGCATGGCAGGGCGCGGCAGTATGGGGGCCTGCATGTGCAAGCCCCGTGGGTTTGAAGACGTGTCGAGGCCATTAGTGGCGTCTGGGGCCAGTAGATGTTGCCAAGGCACTCTCAGCCAAGTAATTGGTGGCAGCAGCAGTGACAGTGGCTGCGGCTGCGGCTGGGGCTGCCGGTGTGGTTGTGGCTGGTGCGGTGGCAGCGAGACAATGGGCTCAAGCTCCAAGTGCTGACGAGCACTCCACTGCGCAAGCGCGGCCTCTTGGGTGAGAAACTGCTGCTGCCTGTGTGGCTGGCCTCCCTCCCCGCCCACTCCCTGCTCCACCGCCCACTCTGACAGGGCAGTCCCAGCAGCACCTGCGGCTGTCCCAGCAGCATCAAGAGGTGCAGGCCCCTGAGACTGAGGCCCACTGGGAAAGGGCATGGTGGGTGCACTCCCACTCAGCAGCACATCAACAACTGGCGTGTCGAGAAAGAGAGCAGCCTTGCCCTTGTCACAGTGGTTGTCACCGTCCCCGTTGTCAGCGCCATTGCTGTTGTTGTCGGTGTTGCTTCCCTCGCCAAGCGCATCAATGCATGCATCCACGTGTTCCTGCTCCCCTGTGCCACACGTACTCCCAGCAAGCACTGCTGCCATGCAGCTGCTCGTGCTGCCGGGAGCGGAGCCAGGCAGAACAGCGAGTGAGGAGGGCATAGGCGATCGCAGCGGTGTGAGTGGCTGGGTGGGCGGAGGGGCAGAGAGAGCAGCGCACTGTGCTAAAGCAGGGTCCTCACAGCAGACTCCCAGCAGCATGTCGTCTGGAAGGGTACCCTCCAACCCAACGTGCTGTGCGAATGGCTGGTTGAGCGGAGGAGCAGAGGGAGCAGCACGTTGTGCGGAGGCAGGGCCCTCGCAGCAGCATCCCAGCAGTACGTCGTCTGGAAGGGCGCTCTCCGACCCAACGCGCGGCCAGTCCACCCGCTGCAGTGTGCAACCATCCCCAATGCAGGGAGCGGAGCCAGACAGAGCAGCGAGTTTGGGGGGCATTGCTGTTGGCAATGCTGCGAGCGGCTGGGTTGGCAGAGGAGCAGAGAAAGCAGTGAAAGCAGTGCCTTCCGCGAAAGCAGGGTCCTCCAAGCAGAGTCCCAGCAGCACGTCGTCTGGAAAGGCACTCTTCGACCCAACGAAGGGCAAGTCTAGCCGTTGCACCGCGAAATCCTCAATGCAGGGAGCGAAATACCCACACCAGGCGGTGGAATTACCAGTGCGGGGAGCAGAGCCAGGCAGAGCAGCGAGTTGGGAGGGCGGAGGAGCAGAGAGAGCGACGCGTTGCGTGAAGGCAGGGACTTCATTGTCAAATTTCAGCAGCACGTCGTCTGGAAGGGCACCCTCCGACCCAACACACGGCCACAGCACCCGCTGCGCCCTGCTCCTCGCTCCTCCCTGCTGCTGCTGGCGATGCTCCTCCTGCAGCAGCAGCGCCTCCAAAAGGGCTTCTTCTGATGCCTTCTGCAGGTCGCTTCTCTCCCCCTGCTGCTGGAACTGCTCTGCCACTGACTGATGCCGGCACTCCGTGCCACACACCACCCCGCCTCGCACCAACCGGCAGTCACGTCCACCCAACAGAGGCTGGTCTGTTCCCCAGCCGGAGCAGTCGTCTCGTGGTCGCTTCAATGGACAATGCAGAGCAGCGGCGCTGGAGGCAGCAGCGACAGAAATGGCTTCATGGGCGAAATCGGCGGTACGATCAGTCGCAGCAGTGGAGGTGGCGGCTTGGGAAACAGCAGGAGGAGCCTGGGAAGCAGGAGGAGCCTGGGAAGCAGGAGGAGCTAAGGAAGCAGGAGGAGCTAAGGAAGCAGGAGGAGCTAAGGAAGCAGGAGGAGCTAAGGAAGCAGGAGGAGCTAAGGAAGCAGGAGGAGCTAAGGAAGCAGAGGGAGAGGTGGCGAGAGATGAGAGGTAGGGTGGGTGTGCTGGGATCAAGCAGCGAGCATTGGGGGCGAGGAACGCCATCATGCACTCGTCATACGACAGCCCTCCGAACGCCAGCGCAGCTGATCCCACGCCCTCCGAACGCTGCTGCTGCTGCTTCAAATCTTGAGTGTGTTGGTTGTATGAAGTATTTTGGGAGAATGTAGCAGCTCCCAGGTGCTTTTCCAGGAAGTTCTGGCGAAAGTGGTCTGTGAACTTCCTGCCATCAACGCACGGCCATAGATAGGAGAGGTGTTCAGAGAGGAGAGGCTGAGGCGTGTTGAAGATGCTCAGGCTTATCAAGAAACCCGAGATTAAGATATCAGGAATGTGGCACGAAGCATGGTTTACCTCCGGAGGAAGATGTAACGGTTACAGCACGACTTGTTGCTCCTCTTGAGCTGGCCGCTCCTCCCCAGCTCGCCCCACTGCTTCGTGCCGCACTGCAGCGCGTGGCGCAGCAGCACCGCGTCCTCCTGCCGTGCGGAAAGGGGGGAAGTGGGGGGGAAGGGGGGGAGAGAATGGAGACGATTTGAGACAAGAAGCAGCGCGTGGCGCAGCAGCACCGCGTCCTCCTGCCGTGAGGAAAGGGGGGAAGTGGGGGGGAAGGGGGGGAGAGAATGGAGACGATTTGAGACAAGAAGCAGCGCGTGCCGCAGCAGCACCGCGTCCTCCTGTCCACCCAGTGCGCAGCGGAGGCCAAGGAGAGCGTGAGTGCGGAGCATTGGGTGTGAAAGCCCGCGGCGCAAGGCACACTAACGTGCCCCGATGACGCGCGAAGGTAGTATAGTCCCAACCGACAAAACAGGGAAGGAAATGCAAGATTGAATTCGGAATCCCATTTCAAACCAGAACCCATTTTCTCCTCTGGACACACCTCTGGCGACCCACCTCTAGCGACCATGGCTGCATCATGCCGGGCGATGAGGATTGCGATTGCGACGCTGGCGAGTCAACAGCTTCCGAGGAATGCGGCATGGCGTCTTCGCTGCTCTTCTTGATAGCGGTAGTGATGCTTTTCAGACAGCAGACTTAACTGACAAAAGCATGGCTTTGAGTCTTGCAAGCCTGCATTCCTCTTTCTAGAGGGCATGGAATGACGTCAGCGGCCCATGCACAAGGCATACAGTACTCGGTGTGGTTGTGGGGGTTCAGCCCCAGCCTTGATTGTGATCCTCTCTTCATGATGCCGCCTCGGGCGACGGAGCGTCGTCTTGGCATCCGAGGGATGCTTTCTCGCCGCATTTCGACTTGAAACGCGCGCAGCCGGCGACTCGCGAGGCAGGAGGCGTGCGACGGAAGGGCCGCTGGAATGGTTGAGGCGATGCGAGAGTGACGATGCGGTGCGCGAATGCGGTGTGCGACGATGCGGACTGACGAGTGTGGGCCAAGTGGAGTGACGAGAAGGGGTAACGGGAATCATTTCACTCGCCCAGTTGTGGACTGATGGCCGAGATTCCCGCACTCAAACTCTCCAACCAATAAGAGGCGGCGACCTTGCATTAAATCGAATAACATCGGATGGTCCTCTCGAAATCGGCCTGTCACATGAGTGTGGAATGGGGGGAGTTCGTCGTGTGACACGAAGCACGTGAATGAACACCAGCCAGCGGTGAAAACTGTCCAGACATTCGCGTTTCGTTCGAAATCGGGCAGTGGATAGAGACAAACGACGCCGCTGGCTGCAGCTGCCAGCTCCTACCAGCCTCCCGGCCAGTTCGCACATCCAATCCAGGTGTACAGTACACCGGCGGAAGGGGAAGACATCATCGTTGACATGGCAGGCAACTGCTGCTGAATGACGCATCTCGCGCAAGACTGAAGAAGGACCCCATACTGCACTATCCTGGGAATTATGGCGTGCAATAGCAGTTTGGGACTAGGCGAGTGTTTTGCGGGACTCTGGTCTGCCGTTCGTCATCTGCAGCAGCAGCAGCAGCAGCAGCAGGCAAGTGGAGGTGTCTCGCGTGCCTTGCTCTTCCCAACCTTGAAGGTTGCTCACCCTCGTCTGGGCAAAAGCGAGTGGGTGCTCGCGTGGGGTTGGAACATTTATTTTTTGTCGCACTGTACACTACTACGGTGCCTGTGATGTGAATCGTACAAACCCTCCATATAAGCATACAATAAACCCGTGTGCGGGGTTTCCACTTCTAGAAACAGTAACCTATGAGGTAAGTAAACAGATTCAATTCCCACAATCTTTTACGATGCCATAAGTTCATAACCCTTATGGCAAGCTGACTGACCAGATGCCTGAGAGCTTACTACAAATGTCTCAGCAGACTTGCTCCCTTCCAAGCAAAATAAAGGGACCGAATGAGAGAATCACAGGGATATGCTTATCGATATCAGTTGTATCATACAATTTACCCCATTGGGAGCTCTGTTGCATACACAGCACAAAGGGGCATACCGTCATACCCCGGATAGAAGCGCAGGCCTCGGATAAGCGCCGGCGCTTATAAAGGGATGAGGGCGCTTATATCCGGTCCTCGATTATAAGCGCACCCCCTAAAAATTTATGATTTATTATAAGCGCATGTCGAATATTATCTGAAAATCAGTCGAAACACATAAACGAATTTCACCTTACCAGGGAAGCGAAGTACAGCTCCACTTTCCTACTCAAATCACACTTGCTGCGCGTCTAGTCAGCACGCGCTGTCGCTTAGTCAGCAAGTGTTTGCAGGGAATCAATCCCTGCCAAGTTGCTCGAGAGTCAAATTCGCGACCCCATATATTTTCGACTCGATTACAATTGGCAGAACGAGATCTACAGTTTGGTGTAAAAAAAAACTTAATTTCATTTTGATGTTATATAAACGCCGGCGCTTATAAATTTCCTCAATTATAAGCGCACCCCCTAAAAAACAGTGTTTTATTACAACCCCAGGGGCGCTTCTATTCGGGGTATGACGGTACCAAGTCATCAGTTATCCTTCATTTCTCAACTTGAAGTTGTAAGTAATTCAGCATAACAAATTGCAATCTCAGCTTGGTCCGATGATGCCCCTATCTTCTGGTATGTTCCGTACAAGGTATGGATGAAGTCAAGAGGCATCACATGAAGAAGAATGGCCACTTACGGTATGAAGTCAAAGGTTTTATGCACAGGTCAACCGTTAATCCCATCCCCGTCAGTATCAAGTTGTTTGTTAGACAGATAAGTAGAGCCGAGCACACCCAAGCTGATCCCACGACCGTTGATGGGATTCATAGCAGCGCCATCACCTCCCGGAGTAAAGGCCGTGTCGGGCCAAGGAGGCAGCAGGGGGATGGCAGAGAGATGGCAGAGCACCGGAGGAGAAGGGCTGCTGCAGCGTGGCAGGGCGCGGCAGTATGGGGGCTTGCATGTGCGAGCGCCTTGGGTTCGAGGGCGTGTACAGGCCATTGGAGGCACCATGGGCCAGTGGAAGCTGCCAAGGCATTCCCAGCAAAGGCGTCGGTGGCTGTGGCTGTGGCTGTGGCTGTGGCTGTGGCTGTGGCTGTGGCTGTGGCTGTGGCTGTGGCTGTGGCTGTGGCTGTGGCTGTGGCTGTGGCTGTGTCTGTGTCTGTGGTTGTGTCTGTGGCTGTGGCTGTGGCTGTGGTTGTGGCTGTGGCTGTGGCTGTGTCTGTGTCTGTGGTTGTGGCTGTGGCTGTGGCTGTGGCTGTGGCTGTGGCTGTGTCTGTGTCTGTGGTTGTGTCTGTGGCTGTGGCTGTGGCTGTGGCTGTGGCTGTGGCTGTGGCTGTGGCTGTGGCTGTGGCTGTGTCTGTGTCTGTGGTTGTGTCTGTGGCTGTGGCTGTGGTTGTGGCTGTGGCTGTGGCTGTGTCTGTGTCTGTGGTTGTGTCTGTGGCTGTGGCTGTGGTTGTGGCTGTGGCTGTGGCTGTGTCTGTGTCTGTGGTTGTGTCTGTGGCTGTGGCTGTGGTTGTGGCTGTGGCTGTGGCTGTGTCTGTGTCTGTGGTTGTGTCTGTGTCTGTGGCTGTGGCTGTGGCTGTGGCTGTGGCTGTGGCTGTGGCTGTGGCTGTGTCTGTGTCTGTGGTTGTGTCTGTGGCTGTGGCTGTGGTTGTGGCTGTGGCTGTGGGAGTGGGTGGTGCGGTGACAGCGAGACAATGCGATCAAGCTGTAAATGCCGACGAGCACTCCACTGCGCAAGCGCAGCCTCTTGGGTGAGAAACTGCTGCTGCCTGTGTGGCTGACCTCCCGCCCCGGTCACTCCCTGCTCCACCGCCCTCTCTGACAGGGCAGTCCCAGCAGCACCTGCGGCTGTCCCAGCAGCACAAGGGGGTGCAGGTCGCTGGGTCTGAGGTCCACTGGCCAAAGGAATGGTGAGGGCACTCCCACTCAGCAGCATGTCAGCCACGGGCGTGTCGAGAAAGAGAGCATCCTTGCCTTTGTCACTGTGGTTGTCGCTGTCGTTGTTGTTGGTGTTGCTTCCGTTCCAGAGCGCGTCAATACATGCATCCACGTATTCCTGCTCCTGTGTGCCACACGCACTCCCAGCAAGCACCGCTGCCATGCACCAGCTCGTGCTGCCGGGAGCGGAGCCTGGCAGAGCAGCGAGTGGGGAGGGCATAGGAGATAGCAGCGGTGTGAGTGGCTGGTTGAGCGGAGGAGCAGAGGGAGCAGCACGTTGTGCTAAAGCAGGGTCCTCACAGCAGACTCCCAGCAGCACGTCGTCTGGAAGGGTACCCTCCAACCCAACGTGCTGTGCGAATGGCTGGTTGAGCGGCTGTGCGAATGGCTGGTTGAGCGGAGGAGCAGAGGGAGCAGCACGTTGTGCGGAGGCAGGGCCCTCGCAGCAGACTCCCAGCAGCACGTCGTCTGGAAGGGCGCTCTCCGACCCAATGCGCGGCCAGTCCACCCGCTGCAGTGTGCAACCATCCCCAATGCAGGGAGCGGAGCCAGACAGAGCAGCGCGTTTGGGGGGCATTGCTGTTGGCAATGCTGCGAGTGGCTGGGCTGGCAGAGGAGCAGAGAAAGCAGTGCCTTCAACGAAAGCAAGGTCCTCACAGCAGAGTCCCAGCAGCACGTCGTCTGGAAGGGCACTCTCCGACCCAACGAAGGGCAAGTCTAGCCGTTGCACCGCGAAATCCTCAATGCAGGGAGCGAAATACCCACACCAGGGTGTGGCATCACCAGTGCGGGGAGCGGAGCCGGGCAGAGCGGCGAGTTGGGGGGGCATTGGCGACGGAAGAGAAGCGAGTGGCTGCGTGGGCGGAGGAGCAGAGAGAGCGGCACGTTGCGTGAAGGTAGGGACCCCATTGTCAAATTTCAGCAGCACGTCGTCTGGAAGGGCACTCTCCGACCCAACGGGCGGCCACAGCACCCTTCTGCCCACTCCCCCCTGCTGCTGGCGATGCTCCTCCTGCAGCAGCAGAGCCTCCAAAAGGGTTTCTTCTGATGCTTGATGAACGCGGCTGCTCTCCCCCTGCTGCTGGAACTGCTCTCCCACTGACTGACGCCGGCGCTGCGTGCCACACACCACCCCGCCTCGCACTACCCAGCTCCCGCTTCCCCCAAGCACCGGTTGGCCTGCCGTCAGGCCGGGGCAGTCGTGCCGTGGTCGCTTCAATGGATGATGCAAACCAGCGGCGCTGGAGGCAGCAGCAACGGGGACGGCATCACGGGCAAATGGGAGCTCGGTGGTAGATGCGACAGCCGCTGAGAAGGGGGCGGCTTGGGAAGCAGGAGGAGGAGGAGGAGGAGCTTGGGAAGCAGGGGGAGGGCTGGCGAGGGATGAGAGGATGGGCGGGGCTGCTGGGAGGCAGCAGCGAGCATTGGGGGCGAGGAACGCCATCATGCACTCGTCATACGACAGCCCTCCGAACGCCACGTTTGCTGCTCCCACGCCCTCCGAATGCTGCTGCTGCTGCTCCGAATGCTGCTGCTGCTGCTGCTTGAAATCCTGACAGAGCAATGGCTGGCTGTGCCCGTCTCATGAAATATGCTGCGGGAATGCAGAAGCTCCCAGGTGTTTTCGCAGGAAGTTCTGGCGAAAGTGGTCTGTGAACTTCCTGCCATCACCACACGGCCACAGTAGAGGAGAGGCGTTAAAACGCCGCGGCGTGTTAGAAATGCTCACGGGTATCAAGACGACTGGATCAAGAAAATCACAAATGTGGCACAAATCATGGATTACCTTCGGAGGAAGATGTAACGGTTACAGCACGACTTGTTGCTCCTCTTGAGCTGACCGCTCCTCCCCAGCTCGCCCCACTGCTTCGTGCCGCACTGCAGCGCGTGGCGCAGCAGCACCGCGTCCTCCTGCCGTGCGGAAAGGGGGGAAGTGGGGGGGAAGGGGGGGAGAGAATGGAGACGATTTGAGACAAGAAGCAGCGCGTGGCGCAGCAGCACCGCGTCCTCCCGTGCACCCAGTGCGCAGCGGAGAAAAAGACATAGAGGTAGTGTAACCCAACAGACACCGGTGAAGGAAATGCAAAATCAAATTCTGAATCCCATCTCAAGCCTAAGAATCCAGCGGATGTTCAAATCCACCTGGCGACCCACCTCGGGCGACCCACCTCTGACAACCCACCCACCTCGGGCGACCATGGCTGAATGCTGCCGGGCGAGGAGGATTGCGATTGCGCGGCCGGCGAGTCAACGGGTTCAGAGGAATGCGGCATGGCGGGTCAACGGCTATAATATCGCCTCGCTGAGGCAAAACGAGAGTGTTCTTTGTGCGCAGCGGATGCCCTTAACACTAGCCCAGCGCACAGGCGTTGCAATGGCGGTCGAACTGCTGTTCTTGATAGCGGTAGTACTACTAGTGCTGGTTTCCAGACAACAGAGCTAACTGACGGAAGCATGGCCGCTTTGAGCCTTGCGAGACTCTGTCACTCTTCAAGAGGAACGGAATGGAATGACGTCACCGACCCACGCACAAATCCCAGGCGTGATTGTGGGCAGGATTTGAGCCGCAGGCTGTGATTGTGGGTGGGCCTCTTGATGATGATGATGATGCCGCCTCGCGCGACAGTGCTTCGTCTCGTCTTGACAGTTTCTCGCCGCATTTCTTCGCCAAACGCGCGCAGCTGGCGACTCGCGAGGCAGGAGGCGTGCGACGGAAGGGCCGCTGGAAGGTGGTGATGCGCGAGCGACGATGCGGCGAAGTGTGGGCCAAGTGGACTGACGGGAGGGGTACTGTACCGGGTATCACTGCACTCGCCTAGTTGGCACTTGGCATAAATATAGGAGGAGGCGACTTGGCATAAATATATATAAAGTACACTAGCAGCGGATGGTCCTCACGAAATCGGCCTGTTGCATGAGTGTGGAATGGAGGGGGATTCGTCGTGTGATATGAGGCACGTGAACACCGGCAGCGGTGAAGACTGTCCAGACGTTGGCGCTTCGTTGGAAATCGGGCAGTGGATAGAGACAAACGACGCCGCTGGCTGCAGCTGCTAGCTCCTACCGGCCTCCCGGCCAGCTCGCACATCCAATCCACGTGTACGGCAGAAGGGGGAGCATCGTTGACGTGGCAGGCAACTGCTGCTGAATGCCGTATCTCGAGCAAGACTGCAGAAGGAACCGATACTATCTTGGGAATTATGGCGTGCAATAGCGGTTACTGGTGAGTGTTGTGCATGACTGTGGTCTGCCGTAGTCATAGCAGCAGCAACAGCAAATGGAGGCGCCTGCCTTGCCTTGCCTCTTCCCGAGCTTGAAGGTCACCTATGCCTTGCCTTGCCTTGACGCCAAATGCGTGTGGGGGGGAGGAGCTCGCGTGGGGTTTGAACATTAATTTCTCACCGCAGCGCACTGCACTGTACTGTACACTACCATGTCAACTTGGGCACAAGCCCTGGTTCTTGCAGCGAACGGCACAAACCCTTCGGAGTCCTCACGCAACATATACTCCATATAATCATCAAATCAACAGTAACATATACTTCCCACAAGCGTTTTACGATACCAAACACCCTTATGTCAAGCTGACTGATCAGATTCCTGAGAGCTCGCTAGTAATGTTTGTCCAGCAGACTGGCTCCCTTCCCAGCTGTCGCGAGTGTCGAAGTCTACAAGAGTACGCGGGAAGAATCGAGCCCTAACGGACGGACGGTGCGCGACTTGAGTAACTAGGTTTGCAGTCGTGCTTCTAGGTTGTGCTTCAGGCAGGCGACTTTATCCCTACCAACCCAGCATCAGCTCGCAGCGGAATGCCCCCAACACAACTCATAGGCGTTACAAGCACAGAAATAATCACCGCAGCACGCGGTTGGGCACTAGAAATCCTCAGGGACCTCGGGAACGTCGAGGGAGGTGACTGTGACGCGGATATCCCGAGCGCAAGAAGCGAGCTCGAGGTAAAAACATACAAATCTACAATACGAAATCAGAAGGCACAAACAATATTGTACAACCATAAATACTAGCCTCAATTTAACAACTCAGTGTCAAGACAGAATGCTGTGCATTCTCAGAATGACAAACGAACATGCGTATATGTTGGGATGAAGCCTGAAGGCATCTCATCCCATGGGGAAGGCTGTATGTGAAGTCCAAGAGCTCATGGACTGGACTCCGTTCCTATCGTCAATCATTACCCCACCCATCCCCGTTAGTGTCAAGTTCGTTATTCCTTGAACAAATTAGTCGAGTCGAGCAGCGCACACCCAAGCAGAGCTCATAACCAGTTGTGGCATTCAGGGCATGCCGTTGCCTCCTGATGTAACAGTCATCTCAGGCAACGGAGGGAGTATGGGGCTGCAGAGAGCCGATAGAGCACCAGTGGGGAAAGGCTGCTGCAGCATGGCCGGGCGTGGCTGTATGGGGGCTTGCATGTGCGCCCCTCTTGGGGTTGAGTGCGCGTTCAATGGCGCCCTTGGATGTTGACAAGGCACAGACAGCCCAGGCGCTGGTGTCGGTAGCTGTAAGAGTTGCTTTGGGAATAGCTTTGGGAGTATCTGTGGCAGCGGCTGTGAATGCAGCTGTGACTGGTGCGGTGGCCCCTCAACCTGAGGACCACTTGCAAGGGGCATGGCAAGGGGACTCCCACCCAGCAGCACGTGAGCCAGGGGCGTGTCGAGAAAGAGAGCACTGATGTCCTTGTCACTCTGCTTGTCACTGTGCTTGTCATTGCTGTTAGTGATGGCATTGTTGTCAGTGTTGTTTATGTTGGTGAGCATGTTAATGCATGCATCCACGTATTCTTGCTCCTGTGTGCCACACGTACTCCCAGCAAGCATCGGTGTAAGGCACCTGCTCGTGCTGCCAGGAGCTGGGCCAGGCAGACCAGCGATCGGCAAGGGCATTGGTGCTGCGAGTGACTGGGTGGGCGGAGGAGCAGAGAGAGCAGCAAGTTGCGCAGAGGCAGGGCCCTCCTCGCAGCAGAGCCCCAGCAGCACGTCGTCTGAAAGGGCGCTCTCCGACCCAACGCGGAGCCACTGCACAGGCTGCACTGCGAAATCCCCAATGCAGGGAGCGGAGCCAGACAGGCCAGCGAGCTGGGGCGGCGGTGGCGCTGCCAGCGCTGCGTGTGGCTGGGTGGTGGGCGGAGGGGCCAAAAGAGCAGAGCGCTGGATGAAGGCAGGGTCGTTGCTGCTGCACCCCAGCAGCACGTCGTCTGAAAGGGCACTCTCCGACCCAACACGCGGCCACAACACCCGCTGCGCCCTGCTCCTCGCTCCTCCGTGCTGCTGCTGGCGATGCTCCTCCTGCAGCAGCAGCGCCTCCAGCAGGGCTTCTTCTGATGCCTGCTGCACGCCGCTGCTCTCCCCCTGCTGCTCAAACTCCTCTGCCACTGACTGATGCCAGCGCTCCGTGTTACACACCACCCCGCCTCGCACCACCCCACTTTGCACTACCCCTCCTCGCACCACCCCGCGTCGCAGCAACCCCCGTTGCACCAACCAGCTCTCACGACCACCTAGCAGCGGTGACTGTGCGCCCAGCGTGGGCGAGTCGTCCCTTGGTCGCTTCAACGCACGATGGAGAGCAGCATTGGAGGCAAAAGCAACGGGGGATGCTTCATGGGATACCGGAAACCCGGTAGTAAAAGCAGCCGCAGTAGCAGAGACGCTGGCGGATTGGGAAGCAGGAGGCGGGCTGGCGACAGAAGAGAGGTCCAGTGAGGGTGGTTGGTGGCGGCAGGGTGCGTTGGGGGCGAAGAAGACGGCCATGCACTCGTCAAACGACAGCCCTCCGAACGCCAGGGCAGGTGAACCCACGCCTTCCGCATGCTGCTGCTGCTGCTGCTGCTGCGAATTCTGACAGAGCAGCGGCGAACCGTCTTCGTCCAATAAAACGTCCTGGAGGAACGCAGTGCCTCCCAGGTAATTTCTCAGAAAGCTCTCGCGAAATTGATGAGTGAACTTCCTGTCGTCAACACACGGCCACAAAGCAAAGGTGTTACGAAAGGCTAAGGTGTGTTACTAATGCTCATACGCATCAAGAAACCTGAGTTAAGAAATCATGTATACCTCCGGAGGAAGATGTAACGGTTACAGCACGACTTGTTACTCCTCTTGAGCTGGCCGCTCCTCCCCAGCTCGCCCCACTGCTTCGTGCCGCACTGCAGCGCGTGGCGCAGCAGCACCGCGTCCTCCTGCCGTGCGGAAAGGGGGGAAGTGGGGGGGAAGGGGGGGAGAGAATGGAGACGATTTGAGACAAGAAGCAGCGCGTGGCGCAGCAGCACCACGCCCTCCTGCCGTGAAGGAGCGGCGGAGGGAATGACAGCGTTGCCTTCATGAGCGTGAAGTCCGCGGTTCAAGGATTGCAAGCAGCATATATCAAGGATGAGATTGCAAGATTGAATGCTGAACCCCATTGTAAAATGCAACATATGTAGAGGGTTGAGAGATTCTCCTTCCGAACGCTCTTTTCGCGAACCACCGCCTCTCGCGACCCACCTCTCGCGACCATGGCTGCATGCCGGGCGGCGACGAGGGTTGCGAGACCGGCGGCGACTCAACGTCTTCACATGAATGCGGCATGACGGCTAGTAAGCTGTTGTTCTTGAAAGCGGTAGGAGCGTGTTCAAGGATCAGCTGGCAGAGCCCAGGGTAATTTTGCAAGTAATTTAACTTCAGAAAATAACCGTCTCTTGAACGAAAGGTGAGCCCAATAATCTTGCATCTATCCGTCTTGGTTCAAACCTGGCCCCGCGGACGGAAAGTCCTTTTTGCGGTTCAGTACGGTCGAGCAGCAAACGCATGTACGAGCTCTGATTGTGGGCTGGGTCCACCATTGGCTCCCTTGATTCTGCCGCTTGTTAACAGGGCTGAGTCTTGACCGGAACAACGGCATGCCCCTCCATTGCACTTCCAGACGCAACCAGCAAGGCTTCGAGTCGGAAGGTGTGGGCCAAGTGGCACGACAACGAGTGACGGAATGAAAGGAATCATTGCGGCAGTGCCACTGCCAGTGGTTGGTAAGTTGTAGCCTGCCTGGCTGGCACTCCCGCAATCAAAACCCCTCAACAACTAGGAGAGAACCGAGTAAGTCGTACGTGTACTCATCGCGGAAAAGGTTTTGGGCCCGAGTATCCGAAAACGGGGTACTCTTCCGAAATGTTGCGGGAATGTATACAGAAGTGTCCAAAAAACACCCAGGCCAATCCGCACCCCTAATCCCACACAAGGGACTCGCCACTGCCGCGTCGCGACTCTTTGGCGGGACAACGAATGTCCCGCCAATATCCTCCAACACCGCAGCGCACATTTCAGTCATGCAGCGGACTCGCGGCCCGGACAACATGGGGTTCACTATACGCGACATTGCATGCCCAACTGCATACCATAATCGGGCAAACAGCAGAACATCGGCCCAACACACCTACGAAGTGAATACACCACTTAAACGCATACTAAACAAATAGGGTATCCACCAAAACATCAACTATAACGCATGTAATCTGGAACACAAAATCACAATCCGTCAAACAACACATACGAGTACCACGCACGTCTTACATCTCAGCAGCACTGAAAGCCGCCTACTCGTACAAAACGTCAAACCACCCTACTCCACCTCCAACTACACACCGCCAACAGCAATACCAGCCTAGAGGCTTCCGCCTGGCAAACAATCGTCGCACACCACACTAGCTTCCTGCGCCTCGACCAACCCACCAGGCTGGCCGCCCACCGCAGGTCCGTTACGAGCACGCTTAGTAGGCGTCCTTCGAAGGCGGCTTATCACCTCCTCGTTATGCGCGCCCAACGCCTCGGGCACCTGGGACACTGGTATGCCCAAATTGCCCGCCTGCTGGCTGTACTCGCCCGCCACCATCCGCACGACCCTGCGCCGGCTGCGAACGTCCCGATACAGTGGCCCTTCAGGGATACAAAAATACGCCGGTATCTCGTCATCATCCTCCTCGTCCTCCTCATCCTCCGCCTTAATCACGCCCCACTTGATGAGCAGGTCCTCGTCGCAGCCCACAATGTCAAACATTGCATGTTTATATTATGTAGGCTGTAGTGGGTTACACCTTAGGGGGTACTCAAAGTTAGGGTTTCCTACTTGTACCAAACTCTGTGCTAGTTCATCCCATTCCTGCTCAGTTATTCTGACATGGTATCAGAGCAGGTCCATCGCTAGGACCGCTCTTAGGGCCCACCGCTACCTACCTACCTACCTACCGTGCGCCTCTTGCGCCTACGCGCTCTCGTGCGCCCTACCCTACGTGCGCCCTCGTGCGCCCTACCCTACGTGCGCCCTCGTGCGCCTTTCTCTCCTTGTGCGCCTTCGTGCGCCCTCGTGCGCCCTCGTGCGCCCTCGAGCTGCCCCTGCAGGTCCGTCAGGCCACCGAGCCGTCGCTGCAGGCCTGTCAGGCACCTGAGCCGCCGCTACAGGCACGTCAGGCACCCGAGTCGCCGCTGCAGGCCCGTCAGGCCCCCGAGCCGCCGCTACAGGCCCGTCAGGCCCGAGAGCCGCCCCTGCAGACCCGTCAGGCCACGCGCGCCGCCCCTGCAGGCCCTAGCCGGCCGCCGCGTCGCTCTGCCCGCAGCGTCGCCGCCTCTCCGCGGCGTCGTCGCCTGCCCGCGTCGAAGCCGCCTGCCCGCGACGTCGATCCCTGCCCGCGGCGCCGTCGCCTGCCCGCGGAGACGTCGCCTGCCCGCGGCGTCGTCGCGGCGTCGCCACCTGCCCGCGGAGTCGTCGCCTGCCCGCGCCACATGCACGCGGCGTCGCCACCTCCTCGCCGCGTCGACCTGCCCGCGGCGTCGCCACCTGCCCGCCGCGTCGACCTGCCCGCGCCGTCGCCACCAAACCCTAATCCGTCGCCCTGCCCGCGGCGTCGCCACCTGCCCGCCGCGTCGCCCTGCCCGCGCCGTCGCCACCTAACCCTAATCCGCCTCTCGCCCCTGGAGCAGCCGCCACTGCAGTAGCAGCCCCTGGAGCCGCCGCCACTGCAGCAGCAGCCCCTGCAGCCGCCCGCCACTGCGTCAGCAACCACTGGAGCCGCCCACCACTGCAGCAGCCGCCCCTGGAGCCGCCCGCACCTGCAGCAGCCGCCCCTGGAGCAACTGCCGCCGTAGCCCGGTCTAGCTCTGCAGCAGCTGCCGCGGAGCTTCCTACTGCGCCTGCCACGCCGACCACTGGTGAGCATTGCCCTGCCAGCACTGCTACCGCTGCTACTGCTACTACTGCCGTTTCTACTCCCACTCCCGCTACTCCTGCTGCTCCTGACGTGGCCAGATGCAGCCACAGGACCGTGCGCGTGAGTCCCTCACGCTCCAGCAGGCTCGTGAGTGGTACGCCAGTTGGGGCTATCGAGGTGGCCGTAGTGGTAGTCGCTCTGACGTGCGTCGTTCGGGAGCCCCTGGTAGTGGACAGGTGCAGCAGCCGTGCCCTCCTACGGTCCAGCAGGCTCGTGAGTGGTACGCCGGTTTGAGCAGTCGGGGTGGCCGTAGTGGTAGTCGCTCTGGCGTCCGTCGTTCGGGAGGCTCAGGTAGTGGACAGGTGCAGCAGCCGTGCCCTCTTCTGGTCCAGCAGGCTCGTGAGTGGTACGCCGGTTTGAGCAGTCGGGGTGGCCGTAGTGGTAGTCGCTCTGGCGTCCGTCGTTCGGGAGGCTCAGGTAGTGGACAGGTGCAGCAGCCGTGCCCTCTTCTGGTCCAGCAGGCTCGTGAGTGGTACGCCGGTTTGAGCAGTCGGGGTGGCCGTAGTGGTAGTCGCTCTGGCGTCCGTCGTTCGGGAGGCTCAGGTAGTGGACAGGTGCAGCAGCCGTGCCCTCTTCTGGTCCAGCAGGCTCGTGAGTGGTACGCCGGTTTGAGCAGTCGGGGTGGCCGTAGTGGTAGTCGCTCTGGCGTCCGTCGTTCGGGAGGCTCCGGTAGTGGACAGGTGCAGCAGCCGTGCCCTCTTCTGCTCCAGCAGGCTCGTGAGTGGTACGCCGGTTTGAGCAGTCGGGGTGGCCGTAGTGGTAGTCGCTCTGTGAGTGAGGCAGCCGCTCTCGGTGCCAGTACGTCTGTTGCCCTCGGAGCAGGTGAGGCTACCACTCCCGGTACTCGCGTGTCTGCTACTCCAGATACTGGTGAGCCTACTGCTCTAGGTGCTAGTGCGTCTGCCGCTCCAGGTGCTCGCGTGTCTGCTACCCCAGGTGATGGTGAGGCTGCTGCCCTAGGTGCTAGTGCGTCTGTGCCCCCTGGTACTGAGTCGACTGCAGCACTGCACACCTTCACACTGGACTCAGGTGCTTCTCGCTCTTTCTTTCGTGACCGCACTGTCCTTGAGCCACTCGCTCGGCCAGTTGCTGTCTCTCTTGCTGACCCCTCAGGGGGTCCGGTCATTGCGACCTCCTCCACTACACTTCCGTGTCCAGCGGTTCCGTCCGGCACGCTCTCAGGTCTCTACCTCCCCTCGTTCTCTACGAACTTGGTGGCGGGCTGTGCTCTGCAGGACGGGGGTGTTCACCAGTTCACCCCTGCCTACGAGCGTGTGACACATTGCACGTGTGCTCGGTCGGACCTGTACACACTGACCACTGAGTCCCCTCAGGTGGCTGCGTCTGCGTCTGCGTCAGGTCAGCTGTCCGCCCCCTGCTCATGTCGCTCTCTGGCGCATGAGACTGTCCTCTGGCACCACTGCCTTGGTCACCCGTCTGTGCAGCGCCTTCGGGCCATGCACAAACGGGACCTTGTTGCTGGTCTTCCCAGGGTGCTCCCTCCCCTTCCCGACTCCC